AGATACATACCCTCCTCCGGATTTTGCTTATTATAATTATAGAATGCAGCTGCACACATGCATTTGTAGGACTTGATCAGACTACTAGCTTTGAACTTTAAGTAATCTGGCGATCCCTCCAGTGGGCAGAGTGTGTTTGACCACTTTTCGGTCCCAGTCAAACTGGGGCTGTGCACCAAAAGATAGTACATACCCAACAAGATGTCCATTGGGAGATCATCGCTGACTAGGAATGAGACGTGATGTCTCAGTTCCCCTCCTGCGTACGGGAAACAACACTCAACGTCCTTAAGGTAGTCGATGACTACCATGCGTTGTTTGTTGGCACATGTCGACTCCACAGGTCGACTCAGGCGTTGCACTTGCCCTTGTAAGCGCAACTTTTCAACACACTCGTGACTGATAAAGTTTCGCGTCGAGCAAGTGTCATAATAGGCCCCGACCTTACGGTCGTCGATGACTACCTCGCCGACGAACAACTCATCCTTAGGGGCTTTGGCCATGGTTGTCCAAGAAGCCAACGGGTCCGATCTAGACCACTCCTCCTCTAGCTCCTCAGCGAACAGAGGATCGCTGGGTCCGAATGTGTTTGCGGGACTACAACGGAGTCAGTAGCTTGGGCCATGTCTCGAGGTAGTGAGGGTGTGTCCACCACCTCGTGTGTCCACCACCTCGATTTTAGCAGGAACAACTACTATTCCTACTAGCCCAACGTGTTTCCCGGAGCAGTGCCAAAAATGCTGGCCACATTGCTACCTACGGAAGTGGAGGATCCCATTGTCTGCCCCATTGTAGGCGGGATCTTCCCGGTCACCTTCTTGTTGAGGCACCTGCCTGGTATACCGGTCTCTCCACACGTTCTCTATGAGACCCGCTTTCTCCCATGGAGGAGCGTTAGGGTCAACTTGACTCCTAGACCGGGAGCCTCCACGGCGTCTACCGGTCACCTTTCCTTTTTGAACTGAGGCAGCGACTGCTCCACCCCCTGAAGCCTCTACGCTGCCCGCCTCTGAACCTACTCCTTCCTGGAAGTCGTCATCTAATTCGATGTTAGATCCATCGTTGTCGACGAAGATGATGCGACCCTTCGCCTTCCAGTTAGGAGGCAGTGCTTTCTTCCTTCCGTCCGTCGTGGGTTGGTGTCCGTGCCCTATCTTTCCATCCCTGTCTAGGGTCTTCTTGCTAAACGAGGGGAAGTTGTGTACATTGATGTTTGCCTCGCCTGCCAACTGATTCCTAAGTGGCGTAGGGAGACATATCAGGTAAGTGGTTAGCAAGACTTGGGGGTCATAGCGCACTCCAGGTACACAGATCAGACGCTCTACTGCATTTGTGGCATCCCTTATTGACTTGAATGGCCTATTACTCAGAGTCAGGATCGCGTCAGTGGCCTTTTGGGTTTCCTGGGGATCATGCCACCTCTCCTCCACCAGCTTTAGGAATTCTTCCAGTGTCTGGTTGACTGCCCGAGCGCGGAAGTCATGTTCGTATCCTTGCAGTTGCACTAACCCGCTTAACCATCGTGTGGCACTCCCCTCAAGATAAGAGGCAGCCACAAGCACTTCCTCATGTGGCAAGGTTAACTTGCACTTAACATAGACCGGCACTGACTTCAACCATGTGTCAAGGTCTTCGCCCCTCTTGTCCCCTGAGAAGGGTTTGGGTGAGGCGATGGTCGTCTTTGAAACCCGCTGTGTTTGTCCCGGTACCTGCAGCACTCTGGGCTGTGGACCCTGGGGTGCAGGTTGCTGCACTAGCTGCTGTTGGGGCTGTGTGCCCTGCGGCTGTGCTGGCAGCAAGACAGCAGGCTGCCCAGTTACGGCAACCTGTGTCGGAGGTTGGGAATACACTGTCTGTACAGGAATCTGTACACTGGGACCTGCTGAGAACCCTCCTGTTAGCGGCATACCTAGGGAAACGGCTTGCACCAATGCTGGAGAGGGATATGGGGATACTCCAGTCACCAGTGGGACAAAAGGAGGAGGTTGTACCACGGGCCAGGCACCGGGCCCAGATGGCGATGGTGCTGACTGCGCTCGCCCAACCAGCACAGCCAGGCTCTGCTGGATGTCCTGTAATAGCGCCATTTGGTGATCCTGCATCTCTACTACATCTAGCAAGACCGTCCTCAGGGTCCTCACATCATCATCGATTTCTGTCAGATCCATCTCCTCTAACTCGCTAATATCCGCTTGTCGCCGCTGCATCCTGGCTTTTCTTTTAATCATCTTCTCTTGCTCCGCCTTTCTCTCTCCTAAAGCCTTCTGTACCTGTGCCTTGCGAAGCGCTGCTTGCTGTATGGCGACCTCTTCAGGGGTCAACACTCTTGGCTGGCTTGCCATAACGCCAGTGGACTAACTCAGGGTCTGTGCAATCGTTGACCCTACGGTCCCTGAGCTGCTGGCCTGGGAACTCTGCTGCGCAGCAGTTGCCATGGCTGCTGAAGCAGCGGCTTCGCTTGCGAACGCCCTGCTGGCCTCTGCTGCCCTAGCTCTCTGCTGCTGCTGCTGTCTCTCCCGAAGCTGGCAGAACAGTAACCTGTCACCCTCGGGTCCTAATGCCACGTGGGCTATAGGGTGTCTAGTCGATCGCAAGATCCTGTCGTCCTTGCTAGTGGTCTCCCTGTCGCTCACAAGCTACAGAACTATACACAACCTGCACTAGGTCACTCACGATGCCTACCACAGTGTAATGTATAGACCAAAAGTAAATAAATTATTGGTGGCTATGTCAGAGACTATACATTCGGGTCCAACAGGTAGTCCAGATTCCTACAAATGAAACTATTTTACTTCGACTAGTCCGCCAACAGAAAGCAAACAGTAATTTCTACCTACGCTGTCTGTCAGATGTGTTAATGGCCGTAACATCCAACTAGTCAAAAATAAAAATAGAATCATTTGTTGGGTCTGTTGGCAGAATGGAATTTTCCCGAACTTATCACCTGGAATCTACCCCTCCCTCAGTTCCTCTTGATGGTCACTTGACGGCAACGTCCCTGAGCGATCCGAAATAGCGTGCGTGTCTAAAGGTGTGCACACGGCCCACCCCTGTGCCCCGAGTGTTTGCTGAGCCGGCCAGCCCTGCACTCTTTTTATCCTCGCGTGCAGCGAGCCTTAGACCGACCACAAGGCTGATCAGGAGGCATTTAAGGATGGCCCCCAAAGTCCTCAGGAATTATTTAACGCCGCAAACAGGACGACGATCACAGCCTGTGGAAGGTACCGCGCCAGTGCTTATTTATAGACGCCCGGTACTCGTCTCCCCTGTAGGGCTGGCTTGCCCCTCATCACCCATCTATCAGTGCAGCAGGCAGACAAAGGACAAAGCAACAAAGCATGCGTGGCCTACTCCCGGTGGGTTGGCATGGTATCCGTGACCCAGTGCTTCATCCAGGGCCCTTCAGATAGCTCCACCCTCTCCTTCCGGATGCTCCACGTGAACAATGCCGATTTTCAAGGTTGAGCGCACTCGACTCCTCACAAGACAGAACACACATCCTCACGGTAAGAAGTGTCGAAGAGGGTAGACAAAGTTAAGAGCAACGTACCTCAAAATAGCTGCCCCCAACCACAGATATTCTCACCAGATGATCTGATGCCGACTGTGATGACCAATCGCTGCTTCCGCACAACCAGCATTACACCACCGTTCCACCTCAGCATCAATTGCACATCAGATAGTTCTCATCACACTGCGAACTCCCACTATACACCACGTAGCCTTCCTGGCGATACCCCTCACCTCCTGGGTCGCCCTGCTTGCCTTCACCCTCCTCACTACACACTCCGTACGGCCGCTCGCCCAGCAGACCTCATGCATGTACCGCATAGGCAGAAGACAAGCGCCAGATGAGCGCAACGTACCACAGCTCTGATACCAAATTGCAAGGAAAATGAGCGATAGCGAACTTCAGAAACCAAGCAGCATCATACACATGTGACCAGATAGTCGTGACCTCGAACCAAAAGCAGAATTGCAACACGAGTTCCACCAAATAAGAACACAGCAAAAGCTCATGAGTGACAATGTTGGAATAGTCTCATCATCATCAACAAAGAACCAATGTCGACATCCTATCTGGCGCTCTGCGCCCAGACTACTTATGGCAGATCCTATCTAGCCTAATCTACATTGCCGCTGGTGATGTCAACAGCTCCCCCGAAGTACGAGCAGATCTCGGCCAATGCCGTTCGCTTCAAGCACCAGGTATGTCTCTCGTATCACTCACAACCTCGATCCCCCACTCGCAGATGCTACGTGCACCCAAGGACCACCATGCGCCCCATCCAGCATACAGCAGTGTAGCTCGGCTATGGCTGCCTGCTCATCCAGCTCGCCCGTGAGCGCGTGAGCGCTGGCCAGCGTATAGCGCAGCAGTGCTTGCGCAGCATGCAGCCAGTGCCCAAATGTGGAATGCGGGGGCAGGCACTTTCCTAAATGGAAGTGGCCTGCCTGCTGTGCATGACCTGGCTGCACCAGGCCCCAGCCTAGAAGCTTCCGGTAGGCCCTGGGAGGCTGAGCCTCAGTCCAAACGTATCAGGCCCAGGGCCTGCGGTGGTTGCTCATGCCCAACTGCCCGCAGCCTGGGTTCAGTCCATGTTGTGTATCTGGCCCAGGGCCTGCCCCAGTTACATACGATTTGGGCAGCCTGGGCCTGGGGCTTCCAACCAACTGGCGCTGCGCAACTGCCTGAATTTCCCCAGTTGCGTGGTAGTCCAAAATAGGCCTAGGTCGGCCCTGCCTTCACTTAGGGCGGCCAACCTTGGTGATAATGGGGCCCAGTAGGGCTTACCGAGGCCTTGTGCCTCGCACATTATTGACAGTAGGACTTTCTTCTACGCTATGGACCTGATTGGAGTGAGATTCATCGAGGTCTGGTCGTACTTGCAGTCGGACACATTTTTTATGAAAGCGCCAGCGTGAATATGCCCTCTGTTTGCAGCAGCTGATGGCGTTCCTGTTTTCGGATGTGGTCTTTCCTGGTTGAAAACTTTCAGATGCGGACGAAGTTATGTTGGACATGTTTGGAGTCTTACCTTACCAGAAACTTCAAAAGAAGTTATTGCTGGTAAGTATTACATTCCGTCTTTTTGCGTATGTGCATTCAGTTTGCAAAAGTTTGCACCTTTGCAAGTTCACATGGATGTTAGAAAAGAAAAAGTGCATCGCCGACTTCAGGCTTCTAATTGATAATTTGCTGTTTAACTGTGTTGGGAGTGCTGCAGGAGCTTGTGGTTGATTAGTCTATATTCGGTTTTCTTTCCCCCCCCCCCCCCCCCCTTGAAGGGGGTAAAGTCTAATGTGAATGTATCAGGGCTGAACTTCCGGTCCCACCGGGGCCCCCTTCACCCACCGGAACCGGTCTGGTAGTACCGGCCACTGGACCGTGCCGGTTCCCCGCCGGTGCATTTCGTGCAAGTGGATTGCGGGGGGGTTTGAAATTTTTTTGGGGCCTGGAGTCCTCCATGCGGGTCGTGGAGGCCTCCCGGCCCCGAAAAAATTAAAACCGGGCCCGGTAGGCCCGCCAGAAAGCTGAAAAACTGGCGGCCTATCTGGGCCGTCGATCTCGTGAGATCTGCGGCCCAGATAGGCCGCAGTTTTTGAACATTCGGGCCGGAAACCGCCCGAAGTTCGACTTGCCGAACTGATGCCAGTGGTCGGCCCCGCCACCCCGTTTCCAGCCTCCAGCCTCCAACCCGTCACTTTGACGCCTCGTCGAAAGTGAACGAGGTTGGGACTGCGTTGCACCCCTCCCATGTCCCGGCCTCGGATCGCCGTTGCCCCGCCCCGTCGTCCACCGTTGAAGTTAAGTGGCCCAAACTTTCTTCTTCTTCTTCTTCTTCTTCTTCTTCTTCTTACTACTACTACCTTCTTCTCCTTCTTCTTCCTTTTCTTCTTTTCTTCTTCTTCTTCTTCTTGTGGCAGAGCCGAAGTTTCCCATTAAAATGTGCGCGCTGGGGTAACCAGCGGGCGCGTAGAAATCAGAGACACAGAGAGAGAGAGAGAGAGAGAGAGTGTGAGAGAGAGGGAGAGAGAGAAAGTGTGTGTGTGAGAGAGAGAGGAAGTGTGTGTGTGCGTGTGGGTGTGGGTGTGTGTGCGTGTGTGTGTGTGTGAGAGAGAGAGAGAGAGGGTGCGCGAGGAGGGCAGCGGGCGCGCGGGGGGTAGTGGGCGCGCGAGAAGGGCAGTGAGCCCACTCGGTAGCCATATCGGTGGCCATATCTTCCCCTTGCCCCACTAACACCTCCAGAACACCCAGACCCCCCCCACCCCCTCCAACCCATGAAAAAAAAATCCGCACATTCATGTTTTCTCTGCGGATTCAGGGAGATCTCAACAAGCGCAGTCCAACCCCATCACCAAAAGAAAAGAAAAGAAAAATTCGACCCGGTTTTGGGCCCAACCGGAATTCCGGTCCGGGCCGGTCCAACCAACAGGCCCGGCTGGGACCGGTCCGGTCCAACCGGCCGGTGGCCAGTGCAGCCCTGGAATGTATGTAATTTGTACATTGTACAGGTTTCTGACTCTTAACTCCAGATCTGTTTATCGACAGCTATATGGGTGTACCTACCTTTCAACCACCAGGGCCAGGGTTATCGGTGGATAAACTGCGTTACCAAGAATGTGAGGTTTTACCCTTGGGTTGGTAGAAATTGACCATCTCTCTCAGCTCAGGGTGGGGTTTGATCTTCGGCTCTTTGGCAAGTCTTGTTTGGGACTTTTGTTTGCCGCTCAAATAATAGATAGATTGAAAATATAGCCTCTTATAGGCCATCGCTCTTTTCTACTCTGGGGAGCATTCGCCCGGTCCCTCATGCATCAATGGCTGCTTTCTCTAATTTTGCCTTTCTGAACAGGCCCTTATGAACCTTGCCACTTTTTTGGAGTTTTTTCACCTGCCTGGCCTTCCCGTGTCCTGCCCCCCCCCCCCCCCCYSCCSYCCCYCCYCYCCYSCCYSCCYSCCYSCCGGCCCGGGGGGGTTGCTAACCCAGGTTGATGTTGTGTACTTGGAGCTATCACATGGGTTCCACGTGTGAAAAGTAAATAAATAAAAACCACATAATCTGCCCAAGCCATCAGCAGATAATGTGGTGAACCTTGAAGACGTCACGAGTGTGTGCGCGAGATACGATGAATGCAAGAGCAGGCCATTATGGTGCGTGAACCTAAAGGATTAAGTGTTACATCCTTACTTGATCCGACGTAATTTCCTGATGTTATGCTGCTTTCCCACATCTGCAGGGGTGACATAGCTAAAGATGTGCATTGAGAATTTGAGACACAGCCAAGGATGTGCATTGAGAATTGAGACATAGCGAAAGATGTGCATTGAGAATTTGAGACATAGCCAAAGATGTGCATTGAGAATTTGAGACCTAATTCACCTGTTTTTATTCGTTTTTGCAGCAAGCACTCGTGTCAAGCTCCTCAGAGGCCGAGCTTCAGAAGATTTTTCCCTCCCCGGCTGAACCACAAGCAGGCCTCAATTCAAGGCGCATGGCCAACCATGATGTTGTCCCAACTGCAGAGGTGAGGTTAGGTTGCCCAGACTGCCCAGTTTTTCTTTTTTGTGTTTTCAGTGCCTTTCACTGCTCATTTTTGGCAGGAAGTCTGAATAAGAACCTTTTTTTTTTTTTTTTGGGTCGGGCACGCCCGAGACGCAAAATTTTCGAAGTAGGGACGAACAATTTTCTGCAAGGCTGTGGCTGTGTACTGGCCGTTCAAGGCAATAACTGAATCAACAATTGCTTGCCCCCTGCGAAAGGCTGAATGGTACACACATGTAACTGTTAATAAACAGATGAAGAGTTCAAAATTCAAATCCTGCGAAAGGCTGTTGAATACAAACATGTGTCAAGTGAAGTAGCCTAAGGTGAAGAGAGTATCCACGGAATATTCAGATTCGACACCAGAGCAGCCGTGCAGAGGAGTCCGTTACTTACTCGCTTTGGAACCGGGGTGTAGCTCTGTGAGATGCCCATCAAAACTCTTTAAGGACGTTGCACCATGGAAAACTTACCTGGTTGGTGCGCAGAGGTCCTCAGCGTGAGAGGGTGAGGTTTTTGAGGGAGAGGCTGTATCCTGTTGTGACAGAGGAAAGAGAGAGAGAGGCGCTTACGTGGGGTTTTCTTACCTGTTGATGTTAAGGGGAGAAGAGAAGCATTGCATTGCTTCTGAAGGCCTGCATTGCGTTGACTGGTGCTATTTCTTCGTCACACCAGTCTCGCGGCGAGAGTTGTATTGCTTTGGAGTGTTAACTCTCATATTTGTGAGTTTATTATTGAGTTTGTCGTCGTCGTCCTCCACTTGTCATGGTGCTGGTCCACTTTTTTGCTATCTCTTTGTGATTGTCATTCATTGAGCATTCGAGTTGATGCATGACGTTGATGGTGTGAAATTCCCAGACTTGAGTGCAGTACAGTGTGTATTGAAATAGCGTTTTGTCGGTGAGTAGTGTTGTAGGTGCTTTTCGTGGAAGGCCCGTCATAAAGAGAGGTCGGGGGAAGCCGCTCACTGGGGTCATAAGTTCTTAAGGGTGAGTTGGAGGTGCTTGTGGTCTGGTCCTCTGGGTGTTGTCCCGCATGACTGCCTGGGCTCTGGGAAAAGACTTGCCCTCCTCAACTCCGTGGCTTTGATCTTGGTTGGTGGCCTTCTTGCATCCCACTTCTTGAGATCTCGTCTTGCACTTGCCTCACATGATGCTGTCTATACGTCATCCATGTGCAGTATTGTGTACGCATCCACTCTTTTTTAATCATCCCTCCTAATCAGATACCGTATGTGATCTACTGAAGGCAAGGACAAGGATTGTCAGGACGGCGTTCTAGAAAAAGCAGCAGTCACTGTCGTTCTGTGTTTATCGTTTCAACTTGTGAATCCATCCCTCGCTCCTCCCGATTTCTGCGCAGGTTTGACTCTTGTGAATCCGTCCCTCGATTACCAGTTGTTTTTTCATAACATTTGTATGCATGACTATGCAGACAGGTTATGCCTTATCTTTGACTGTTGTGTTTGGAATTGAGTGCAATGTTGGTACATACTTTCTAGCATTGCACATGTCCAGTCTTCATAGATGTCACTGCCTGGCGAATCCATCTTTTATCCCTGAACAGACATCCGTCTTCTCGATTTTTGTTCAAGTTCCCGCTATCTGTTTGTTTGTGGGTTTTTTTTTTTTTTTTTTGGTGGGGGGGGGGGGAGGTTTGGAGTAGAGTTACCTATCATCCACTAAAATTGGAATGATTGAGAGAAGATTAGCATGTCCTCTGCAAGCAAGGATGGCATGCATAAATCCAGAAGTGATCCCTCCCTCCCCTCCACTGCCTCACCCGCAAGTAAAAAGGAGAAAACAAATAGTTTCTGTGTGGTCCTTTGCAGTACCCGCTAGAATTGGAATGATATAGCAAAGATTAGCGTGGTCCGTGCACGAGGATGACACGGCAAGAGGGGGGGGGGGGGGGGGAAGAAAATAGTTACCTGTCATGCGCTAGAGGTGATTGGGAGAAGATGAGAATGTCCTCTGTGCGCAAGGATGGGACACATATCCAGAAGTGGTGCCTCCCACCCACCTGCTCCCTCTCCCTACAAGGAAAAAGGAAGTACAAAATGATGTCTGTGCGGTCCTTCGGGGCGCCCCGAAGAAATCGAATGATATAGAGAGGATCAGCATGGTCCCTGCACGAGGATGACACATGCAAATGAAGAAATGGTACGAATTTGCAACAAGAAAACATGCTGGCCTTCTTAATAATACTCTACGTATACAGGTAGACAGATGCGTTATGGCCTAGTCTACCAGCCGGGCGGCCGCCAGGGTCACCTTGTTTGCCCGGGTCACCCGGCTTTTTGACCATAGAAGGTCCCAGCAAAAAAGTTGAAAAAACAACAATCCAAAAATTCTGAAAAAAACAGAAGTTATGCAGAAAAATAAACTGAACAAGTTTTCCTCAGGGTCACATCAAAATTCTTTACCAAATTTACAGTAAAAAATAAATTTAGATTTTTATTTATTTATTAAATTATTATTATTAATTTTTTTTTTTTGGCCCGCCCGGGCAAGTGGTCCCGGACCACTCTGGTAGCCTAGGTTATGGCCCAGTTGTTCATTCAAGTTTCAACTTCATTGCCATGTCCAATGTAGCCTAGATTGGTCTCCGTTTGACTTTTGCATCTTTGAAGCATTGCATACACGTCGGGTGCTCAACACCTGCTCAGAACAGCTGTTCTCTCTGAACAGGTTGGCATCCTCCTCCTCGGGCATTTGCATGTGCTCTTTTAAGCAGTGGATTACCCATTTGCTCATAATCTTGACGTGAAAACCTATTAAACACCTGTTGTGTCAGTTTGGTATCTGATCCGTGGTCCATCCGACCACATGGGAAAAGAAAAAAAAGAAAATTTGAAACTGCGAGAAACTGCTGGTCGATGGCAGGTCGTCCAACAGTTGGCACAACGACCGCAGCACGCTTCATCATCAGGCATGTGCCCACTGTCAGTCCTAATAGTCCTTTTTTACTGCAGTCGCTAAGAACAGGTGGCGACTAACCTTGTCTATGTAGAGCTTGCAGGCAATGTTTAGAATAATGAATCAGGTACTGTTAAAAAAACTGTCGTGTAGTCGTTAATTGTCCGGGCGCCGGGCAGCATCTAGCAACGGGCCTAGCTCTGTCGGTAACTTGGTACATCCAATGAGCTTTTGAAATCCAGACCCCAGTTCGAATCCTGATGACCTGGGACCGGTCAGTTCGATGATCATATGCCAAGACTCAAGACCGTCGCTCTTTTCTTTGTTTCGTTTTTTTTTTTTGTTTGTTTTTTAAAGTCCGTGCAGCGTGTGGCAATGGTGTCGTATAAAAGACAGTGAACCGGTGACCCACAGAGTTAAAATGTTTCTAGTGTTTTTTTTAAATCTTTGCCTACCTCTCCCCATGTCAATTGTCGGTGCAGCATCTAGCAGTGATGCTGTTCGATAAATTGTGAACAGGCGGCTTAAAGGCTTAAAACTTAAAAGTTAAAACGTTTCCTCAACTTTCCCGGTGTATTTTTTTTTGAACTTTTTTCGACTCTCTTTTCCTTTCTGTCCCCTCGTTCCCAGAACTGGTTTTTGTCCATCTGGCACGCTGGCACTGATGCAGCTGTCGTCACTTTTGTGTGGAACAGTGACTACATACTGCAAGAGTGACCGAGGAATCCTCGAGCACCACGCAACGACATGGCCCTGGCCCGCAGTTTTACGACTCTTTTTGCGATTTTTTCGCTACTTTTTCTGGCGGTGTGCTACCGCTTGTACCAGCTTAGCCCGCAAAAACTTGCCCACTTTCTCACCCACCCACAAAAGTCTTATGGTGACTTCTCAGTAAAGAAGGAGCCCTTAGAACACAGGCAAAGACGTCCTTTGGAACAATTGTTAAAATGGGAAGAATTACAGAGAAGGTTAGCATGCCCCCCACTGGCAAGGACGACACATAAGTTGAGAAATGGTCCAAATTTATAAAAGAAAAAAGAGACCAGGCGAAGAGGTGACCCACAGGTCGGAACTCTTATCTGGCGGTTTCCTCCCATCCCACCACCCACCACCACCACCTTCTCACCCGCCCGCCAAGTCTCATGACGAGTTTAGCTTGCATCGTGTGTGACAGAGATGTTGCCCTTTTGCTTTTCATGCTGTGAGAGTGTAACGTAACTGTGGGCAGAGATGGAGTGTGTCTGCCATCTGGAAGACTTCAGGCCCGTGCTCTGTAGGAATCCCAGCCGAATAGGGCGAAACTCTTGTGGGTGGGTGAGAAAGCGATGAAGTGGTGGTAAGAAACACGGGGGTGGGAAATTAAATCTGGTATGCAAGATGACCTGGCAACTAAAGGAACTAGTGAAACACTGCTCCGAGGGGAGCACTGAAGACAGGTTGTGTGGCTGTATCTCATTCACGCTCTCTGTGTGTCATCTGCTTGACACTTCCTCCTTCCGCTTTTCTCCCGGTGCTTTCCCCAACCGAAACTGCTCTGCTCCCCACTCCCTTACCGTCTACCCACCTCCTCCTGGCTCCTACTCTCTCTCTCTCTCTCTCCCCCCATCCCTTCTTCTTGGTCTCGCTTTGGTGCTGTTTCTGGGTGGGATTGCGGATCATGGCAGGACATTTGTGTACATCCACCAGAGTCCAACAAGAGTGATGAACAGGATGTTTTCCCAGTTGAACTCAGAACGAGGAGGTTTCAGGTGCGTGGGTATGCTGTCGTTACTCACATCTGCACCCATGCTGTGAACATGAACGGTTTTTGTTCTCATTTCCTCTCTCTCTCTCTCTCTCTCTCTCTCTCTCTCTCTCTCTCTCTCTCTCTCTCTCT